AGAGTTTGCAAATAAATAATTGTTCTTCATAAATTTAGTCCAAGATGTATTCTGCTACATTTCTTTGGTGAAAATAACCCAAATTAGTATTATTTAGTCTGTAGGAAAGTTATAGAGTTCAGGATTGATACATTTTCAGATATATCCCATAGTTTGTGAAGTACTGACAGCCAAACTAATTTCTTGAGGCCCCCAAAATATCAGAACAGTACAGATATCCCCCAAATTACCCCTTTTCGCAAAGTAGACCGTGCAACATATTTAATAAGCGGCATGGCGAGTTTTTTGAAGTTGTAATTTTTTTGTCATAATTTTTCGGAAAATGAAGAAATTAAAAAAAGTTCACTTTTTTTAACATACTGGTCACCAGTGCAGTACAGCATCATCATATAACTTGTGTGGCGGTGATCAGGGACACTGACTGGTGACAGTCAAAAAAAATTGATAATTCAATTTTTTTTAAAGTTATCTTAACCATTTCAATACCGTGCAATTTTACACCTTCCTGCCCAGGCCATTTTTCAGGTTTCAGTGCTCTCACACTTTGAATGACAATTGCGCGGTCATACAACACTGTACCCAAACTAAAATTTTATCATTTTCTTCACACAACTAGAGCTTTCTTTTGGTGGTATTTAATCACCGCCGGGGTTTTTATTTTTTGCTAAACAAAAAGGACCAAAAATTTTGAAAAAAACCCCACATTTTTCTTTGTTTCTGTTATAAAAGTTTACAAATAAATAATTGTTCTTCATAGATTTAGGCCGAGATGTATTCTGCTACATGTCTTTGGTGAAAATAACCCAAATTAGGATGTATTATTTAGTTTGTAGAAAAGTTATAGAGTTCACAAACTATGGTATAGATCTGAATATTGATCAATCCTGAAGTACTGACAGCCAATCTAATTTCTTGAGGTCCAAGAATGTCAGAATAGTACAGATATCCCCCAAATGACCCCTTTTTGCAGAGTAGACAGACCGACGTACTTCATAAGAGGCATGGCGAGTTTTTTGAAGTTGTATTTTTGTCATAATTTTTTGGAAAATGAAAAAATGAAAAAAATTATTTTCACTATTTTTTTTTTACATACTGTCACCAGTGCAGTACAGCGTCATCATATAACTGGCATGGCGGTGAACAGGGACACTGACTGGTGACAGTATGAAAAAAAATATATATAATTTTTTTTTTTTTTTTTATTATTTTTAATTTTTTATTACTTTTTTTTTTAAGATTTTTTTTTCATATTTTACTATGACCAAAGTAGTACAATGTTACCATAGTAACATTGTACTACTTTGGGGAAGTGATCAGTATTTTTTTTTTTTTTTTTTACACAATTTGCTTATAGCAAAGAATTACTTTACTATAAGCAAGCATTTACCTGAATGAAATCGATTCATTCAGCTTTTTTTTTTTGTGCTTAGCTGTGATTTGGTCACAGCTAATCACATGACATGTGCATGTGATTACTGTGACCATTCACAGCTAGGCACTAGTATACAATGGATGGCATGAATGAAGCCATCCATTGTATACAACTGGCATGTGACCTGCTGTGATTGGTCACAGCAGGTCACATGGTACCAGCAACGGGAGCCGGTACTCGGATCTGTCATCGGCCGTGTCCGAGGTGCACGGCCAGTGACAGATCGCGCTGCTGCGCCGCTCTGCATTAGCGCAAACTGCGCATGTGCGGGAGCACGCCAAATGGCGTGCACCCGGAATGCAGGAACACTTTTGAAGCCGCCAAACGGCCATTGGCCGGGCGGCTAAATGGTTAAAGAAAAATATTTTATAATAATTTTTTTTTCATATATTACACTATGACCAAAGTAGTATAATGTTACCATAGTAACACTGTACTACTTTGGGAAACTGATCAGATTCAGTGTCAGATTTGCTCTTGTTTCCTGTACACAGGACGTGAAGGGAAATCTCCGCAATGGGACAAGAAAAAAAAAAAAAAAAAAAAAAAAAAAATCAGACAGGGGTTATAACCGTCCCTTGCTCTACCCAAAATAAAAAAAAAAAAAAAAAAAAAAAAAAAAGTTTTACCTATAGTTCTACTTTAAAAATGGTTGCTTACTTTTCTAAATGTATGCTCATTTCTGGAAAATACAACACTGAAAAATCCTATTTATTTTTATTTGTTTACGAGGAGAATGAACCAGCTGATATTGATTTGCATTGACAAGGAGGCAAGATTGCCTTCTAATTACTGACAGATTTCAGCTGGCGTCTGGGCTTTCCATGCCTTTTTGCACCTCGCTTTCTTTATGTGTTCGATACTTTTTCCCTGTGTCATTCCATTTTATTACACAACTTTATTCTGAACTTATTTGTTTTGGTTTCTTTGTGTGTATGGATTGCATGGGCTGTTACTGACGTGGTGAAAATTTCATGTCAATAGCACCTTTAGAAATATTCACTGACTTGTTCAATACTTATTTTACCCGCTGTATATACCATAGTTTGTGGACTCTATAACCAACAAAATAATACACACTGATTTGGTTTATTTTCACCAATGAAATGTAGCAGAATACATTTTGGCCTAAATATTTGAAGATTTTTTTTATTTGCAAAATTTTACAGCTGAAAAAACAAAACAAACAAAAAAAACAAAACAAAAAAAAACTTATTTAAATTTTCGGTCTTTTTGGTTATAGCACAAAAAATAAACCCAGTGGCGATTAAATACCACCAAAAGAAATTGTGTGGAAAAAAAAAAAAAAGCTAAAAACTTCATATGGGTACAGTGTTGCAAGAGCGCACCATTGTCATTCAAAGTGCAACAGTGCTGAAAGCTGAAAATTGGCCTGGGCAGGAAGGGGATAAAAGTGCCCATGCCTCCATTTATATTTTTTATTATTATATATTTCATAATATATGTCATACTTGCTTGCTCGGTGCAATGATTTTGCACAGAGCAGCCCTGATCCTTGATGGGTCCCCCGCCAGTGCTCTCAGCTCATTCTCTTCTCTTCTCTGCGTGCCACCACATGAAGCAGATTCCTATGGTGGAACATGTGCGGGCTAGATTCCGAGCCAGGCTGTGTGCATCTATACACACACAGTCACTGTGGCTCGGCCCAGCACCCTATTTTTTCCTCCTCACTGGATTTGACTAATAGCAGCAGGAGCCAATGACTCCCAACTGCTGCCTCTATGTCCAGTAAGAAGAATGAGAGAAGTACTGCTTGCTCTCGGACACAATACTGAATCAATAGCTGGTAAGTATTTAGGAGCGTTGAACATTTTTTACCTTAATGTAGACCATGCAAGAAGGTAGAAAAACTTCAGTCTTTGCAATCACTTTAAGATAGATCTGTTAGGCTACTTTCACACTGAGGAGTTTCTGAAGTGTTTTTGCATTAAGAAAAAAAAAGCACCTGCAAATCTCAAGAAAAATGCTTCCCTACGTATGTTTTCACACTCGGTGATTGTGCTTACGTTGCAGTGTAAAAACTCCTGTTTGCAGCATCTCTGAAGCATGTTTGTTTAGTAAAAAAAAAAAAACAAACAAAAAAAATTACTCTTCCTATTGAAATTAATGGAAAGCGCCTGAAAAATGCTTCTGAAAAACGTTTTTTGGTACAGTTTTTAAGTCACGTGTCCTTTTAAAAAAAAAAAAAAAAAAAAAAACCCTCAGAGCGGGGCAAAAGTGCATATGCATTTTTGCGGCGGAGCAGTGTAAAAGTAGATTTAGTATTAGGAAAATTAAATGCCCAATTTCTTGCAATAAATAATAAAGGGGCTAACCTGCTGCTGGGTTCCATAATCAAACAGTCCAACACACCAGCTCCGGCAGAGTCCATAGGCAAGGGATTACCAGGGTAGTCAAACTGCAAAGAATCCAAACCAACTTGCTCCATCCCATCCAGGTTCTGACTTTCAGGGGTTGCAAACTCATCTGTCAGGGGCTTGTTGACCATGGGGTTGGAAAGCTGTCCTAGTCCTTCTGTGACATTCTGGTTCACGCCAATTCTCTCAGCAATCTCTGTGGGGGAAGATTGGCGGCTTCCTGGAGTTCGGCTGTGCAGAAGCAAGACAGGCACAATTTAAAGACCTGGCTCGATCTCTTGATGTGCAATAAACATTTTCATGACAGGGAAGTATACAGTATATAGGAAACTATACAGCGTCAAGATTAAATTGATTTACATTTATATTCTGGGTTTGAGATGCACTTTAAATGCAAGAGATACAACAGGTGCTTTAAAATGCTCTAGGAATGGACTGGGAGACCACAGCTGTACATTCTCCTAGAACACAGCTCAACTGGTAAGAGTCAAACTCTCGCATCCTCCCTTTGGAATTATGCAAGGAGTCATCGTAATAATGGATGCAGGCTTCACGACCTTAGGGTGTTACAAAAAATAAGACCTACTTTAACAAGGGGCAGAGGCCAGTACCATGTGAAGAGTTGTTTGTTCTGGAGAAACATGGGGCTGTGTTAAAAGCAGCTTGGGTTAGTCAATGGAGATGCAACAAATGTACAAAGTCGCCTGCACATCGGTTTGACAGGTACACAAGACAAGGTCAAGGCTCTGACCACAGACAGTGTGCGTCCACACCTGTGCACCTGTAAAATCAAATCTGCGGGTGAATCTGCACAGTTGCTGCATCTCCCTTTACTAACAGGCTGCCTGACCACAGCTCTGCACTGCTCCAGACATAAAATGGCTATTCACACTCTAGAGACTTCATATAAATGAAAAAAAAAAAAAAAATGCAGCCACCATATTTTATTTTTGATAATGGGCTTGTACACATTTTAACCTTGGCAACATTACCAAAGAGCCAAGCTCTTCTTTACAGCTTCCCCCATGATGATCAAAGTGGCCTCTGTCAATAGTTTCCCCTTTATTCTACTACAATACAATCCTAATTAGGCGAGAAGAACCTCTTTGACCTTTTCCACACTTACTTGAAGTCTTTACAGTCAGCGTCAATCCCATTTGGAAGTCCTCGGCCATTCAGCTTTGAAACTTCATCGCCATCAGTAGATATCAGATCCCGCTTCTTTTCCTCTTCAAATGGAGATGCCTTTCCTTTCTGTTCCCCTTTCTCTGGTCCATCCAAATCACAATCTCTGGCACCCTACAGAGGGGGGAAAAAAAAAAAAAAAAAAAAACTTCAGCTTTTGCTTCCTAGAAAACTACAATTAAGGATAAACCAAACTTATTCCCCCTATTAGCTAACCTTAGAGGGCAATTTAAAACATGGTTATACAGCACACACAAAAATAAAATATAATTTATAAATATATATATATTTTTTTTTTTATTCTTTTTTTAAAGGGCTACAACAAAATTTTGTGAATAGCTTCACTTTAACCTGTGAAAAACAGCAGGAATCATATTGGCTACTAAGAACAGCACATTTACTACCTTAATGTGCAATAGCAAACGGGCACTTACATATGCTCCTTTCCGAAATCTTGGGTCATGTTTATCAGCAGGTGAGGAGCTTAGAACATACTCCACCATGCTTACTCCTAGACCACCACTTTCTGACCGAGGTGAGAGTACCGAATTCACATCGTGGTTCCCTTGGAAGCCTTGTCCAGGTCTTCGCTGTACCATGATTGGCTGGGACATGGAATGGTCTGAAAACACAAGAAACTGGTGTTAAATTTTTGATGGCACATTGGACTGATTAGCATTTTTCAATTTAAGCTCTGAGATCTAGGAAATAAACCAAAACTCATATTACAGAAAACCCATAAAACATTCCCCATAACGTCCTGTCCATTCCACACGGCATAAACTTATGACCATATAATAAAAGTTAGTTTTATTAGGGGAACACACAGGGGAACACACACACACACACACACGACTCCAAATCTACCACTAATACAAAAATAAATGTCTACTCAATCATACACAATGATCAACAACTATTTGAAAATGAAAGAGTGGCGGAACCCAATAAAAACATAAGGATTCAAATAGTGGCGGAACCCAATATAAGGATTCAAATAAGTATACCAGTCCATAAAAGGTGGGGAACAGCAAGTAGCTGAACACATTTTAGCACCAGCTACCTCTGGGGCAAATGAAGCAAAGAAAAATCAAAAATCATCTATGGCAACCATAAGAATGTCCAGAGTACCAATTTAATATAATACAAGGATAAAACACGTCTTGACATGCAGGGAGTTTCAATGCGTCTATTAAAGTGGTTGTAAACTCTGTTTTTCAATTTTACCTACAAGCAAGCTTATAATAAAACTTACCTGTAGGTAAAATGAATATCTCCTAAACATGTACCATTATAGGAGATGTTCTCTCTTCATTTAATCCGGTGCATGTGCTCTGAAGGAATGACATATCCGTGCCGTTCCTTCGAAGCCGTGTGCAGTCATCGCAGCCCGGCTTGTCAGAATGCCGGAAGTCGCAAACCCGGAAGGAAGACGGGTGAAGATCGAAGCCTTTACAGTGGTGACAGGGCACCGCTGGAGGGCTTAGTTTTAAGGCAAGTTTTACGTAATGTGCCAGTATGCAATGTATATTAGCACATTATGACATTACCTTGCAAGGGGACACTTTTTGTCTGCGGTTTACTACCGCTTTAAAATATTACATGACTTATCTGCTCCTACCACAAGATGGCAGCAGTGTTCAGGTCTCGGATTGGGTTTATCCAGAATCGGCAGTTTGCACCGTGATTTACAATGGAGACTGAATAGTTAGGCAGGCCTAACTGCCTCTGAAATTTTTTCTTTTTATTTTCTTCCACTACAGGTGAAAGGAAAGAAAATTGCTCAATTTCCCCAACAACATATTCAGTGTTGATGGGAGAATCCTTCCTGCGGAGCTATTGTGTTCTACCAGCTTCCCTGCAGGAAGAACACAATGATTAGCAATGCCAAATATAGCAGACGACGCTAATCGTTCAGGAAAAACCCAACAAGGTGGTTGTACACAAGTCGATTGATAGATCCAACCAGGGATCCCATGCTCCCTGCTGAACTTCAACCCATGTATGGCCGGCTTACAATACAATGCAAGATGATTAGGAGGGATCATAAGCCCTCATGCACACTGGATGTTTTTACAGCGGCTGTTTTTGGCTTTTGCCGTTTTTTTCTACAGCCATTAAACTCCCCAGCATGTTATCCTATGTGTCCATGCACACAGACTAATCTGTAATGTGTAGCTTTCTGGAAAGCTAGGGGGGTAGGGGGTGTGCTCCAAGCCGCACTTCATTCTCAGAGCGTACAAAGATACCCCAAAATTTCAGAACGCAATCAGCAATACTAAGAATTATTCTAGTATTAAATAGCTGCTATTTCTGCACTTTAATTGTAATATTTTTAATAAAAGCCTTTTCAAGCGAATGTATGAAAAGTAGACTTCAGTATTAAATACTTCAGTCACAGGCTGTGCTCCTTCTTGACCCTTACATACCAAGACAAGCTTGACTCTGCCTTATGCAGATATTGTACCTAAAGCACTGTGAAGGTTTGTGTCAGGAGCTACAAGGCTCAGTGTTCACACTGATTAAAAATGAATCACTGTCTAATCAGTGCTTAAAAGTTGATGGGTACATTTTTTTTGTGGTTACTTTGTTCAATATATAGTGGATATAGAGAGTCTACACACCCCTGTTAAAATGTCAGGTTTCTTTGATGTAAAAAAATGACACAAAGAAATCATTTCAGAACTTTTTCCACCTTTAATGTGACCTATAAACTGTACAACTTGTTGAACAACAAACTGAAATGTTTTAAGTGGAGGGAAGTAAAAATAAACAAACAAGGTTGCATAAGTGTGCACACCCTTAAATAAATACTTTGTTGAAGCACCTTTTGATTTGATTCCTGCACTCAGCCTTTTTGGGTACAAGTATCAGCATGGCACATCTTGACTTGGTAATATTTGCCCACTCTTCCTTGCAAAAAAAACACTCCAAATCTGTCAGATGGCGAGGGCATCTCCTGTGCAGAGCCCTCTTCAGATTATTCCACAGATTTTTGATCGGATTTAGGTCTGGGCACTGGCTGGGCCATTCCAAAACTTTCATCTTCTTCTAGTGAAGCCATTCCTTTGTTGATTTGGATGTATGCTTTAGACGTTGTCATTCTGAAAGATGAAGTTCCTCTTCATGTTCAGCTTTTTAGCAGAAGCCTGAAGGTTTTGTGCCAATATTGACTGGTATTTGGTAAATAATTCCCTCTACCTTGGCTGAGGCCCAATTCTAGCTGAAGAAAAACAGCCCCAAAGCATGATGCTGCCACCACCATGCTTCACTGTGGGTATGGTGTTCTTTTGGTGATGTGCAATGTTTTTGCGCCAAACATATCTTTTGGAATTATGGCCAAAAAGCACAACCTTGGTTTCATCAGACCAGAACACATTTTTTCACATGCTTTTGGAGACTTCAGATGTGTTTTTGCAAAATTTAACCGGGCTTGGATGTTTTTCTTCATAAGAAAATGCTTCAGTCTTACCACTCTACCCCCATAGACCAGAAATATGAAGAACACAGGAGATTGTCACATGTACCACGCAGCCAGTACTTGCTAGATATTCCTGTAGCTTCTTTAATGTTGCTGTAAGCCTCTTGGCGGCCTCCCAGACCAGTTTTCTTCTGGTCTTTTCATCAATTTTGGAGGGACGTCCAAATCTTGGTAATGTCACTGTTGCACCATATTTTTTCCACTTGATTACCACCATCTTCACTGTGTTCCATGGTATATCTAATGCCTTGGAAATTAATTTGTACCCTTCTCCTGACTTTTTTAACAATGAGATCCCTCTGATGCTTTGGAAGCTCTCTGTGGACCATGGCTTTTGCTGTAGGATGTGACTAATAAAATGTCAGAAAAGACCTACTAGAACAGCTGAACTTTATTTGGGGTTAATTAGAGGCACTGTAAATGATGGCAGGTGTGTACTGACTGCCATTTAACAAGACTTGTGATTGCTTAACTCTGAACACAGCTACATCCCTAGTTATAAGAGGGTGTGCACACTTATGCAAACTCATTATTTAAGTATTTTAGGTTTACTCCCCCACACAAAAAAAAAAAGATTTCAGTTTGTTTTTCAATTGAGTTGCACAGTTTATATGTCACATTAAAAAGTTGGGAAAAGTTCTGAAATTATGTGTCTTTTTTCCATCACAGAAAGCTGACATTTTAACAGGGGTGTGTAGACTTTTTATACCCGTTGTACATGGTTAACATATAACCAGAAGAAAAAGCCTATGGAATTTCTACCGGCAAGAGAAGCTTCTGTGGCCCTGATGACTCACAAAGATGTTTGTACTGGATTATACCTGATCACTAGACATGCAAAGTTTCGCTAATAATTGATAACCAAGTTACTCCTTAAATACCAAGTACTCAAAGAGAACCAGTCACCAGCAAGAAAACATTTTCTGACTCCCTACACCTTCAAACTAATAAAGGTCATAATGTAGTTTTGTAAGCTTCCTTCACGTACTGTATCCTGTTTTCTGCTGGAAAGCATACTTGGTGCCACGGCTGTGCCAGTCACATTCACCCATTACATATTGCAGGCTGTTGCTATCCAACATTCCTGCAAATTCAGTGCATTTGTATTGTGTTTTTCAGGCACTCCCATAATAGGTCTATGGGGACAAAAAAAAAAACAAGTAATCCTGCCCCAAATAAGCTCCTGTACAGAACTTTGCAACTACTAAAAAAAAAAAAAAAAATTTCGAAAAGTCTCCAAATTGCCTAAAATACACTATGCTAAAAAGTGAATAAGGACTAAAAGGAAGCCTTTGATTAGATCATGCATACTAAAGTATTTACCGTATATACTCGAGTATAAGCCGACCCGAATATAAGCCGAGGTACCTAATTTTACCACAAAAAACTGGGAAAAAAACTATTGACTCGAGTATAAGCCGAGGGTGGGAACACCAGTGGGAGGAATGGCGCCCCATCATTGGTGTCAGTGGGAGGAATGGCGCCCCATCATTGGTGTCAGTGGGAGGAATGGCGCCCCATCAT